ATGCTCGTATGTAATCTTGTAACGGTTGGATTACAGGACTAAAAATGCATTTTGAGCAAGGATCGCTGTATCATCAACGTACATTGCTAGTGTAGCTCGGTGTACGAGGAATGTCTTTCACATAAATATTAAAAGTGTGGGCCTCAGAAGTGACCCTTGTGGAACACCAGCTGAGTTAGGATGGCGTGCTGCGTGTATGTTTGAAGTGCGGACGACTAAGCGAGTACCTTTTAAACAGGATTCACTTATGTGTGGAATGTAATCTGGGAGGCTTAAATTGTGGATTTTGTATATGAGAGCGTCCATCTGGACACCGACAAACTCCTTGGCTATATCGATGATCAGACCACAAGTGATCGTTTTGGCTTGGAGGCCCTAGGAAGTGATCTGTATAACCCTGTAGAGTTGATGCGAAGTTGACAGATTTCTCCTGAAACAAAACTGCTGGGGAATAATGATGCTTTTCTCTTCCAGGTGATTCCTGATTCTCTTAAGGAGAACCGCTGCTATCAGTTTGCTCAAACAAGACAGTTGACAAATAGGCCAATACGATTAAGAAGCCGAGGCTGGTTTGTTTGGCATAAGAAATGGCGAAGTGGTAGCAGTCTTCCAAAAACAGGAAAGTACTGGGATCTAAGCATCACGTTGAATATTTTTGTCATTTTGAAGAACAGCTTGACGGAGAAGAGTTTCACCATCTTGTTTGTAATCTGATCAATGTTTTTATATATTTTCTTTTCATTTGCGCGTAAAACTCATAAATTTTACTTTGGCTGTAGCCCGCTCAGTTGGCAGCCTTGCCGGCTAGTATACCGGCTAGTATTCGCGCCGCACAAAACTGCATCGTGAGCCACGTGTCGCTTGTGGTTCACGAGCTTGAAATTAATGATAAAAGGGAGAGATACACACATGATACAGTGATCATACACTGCTCGACATTGAAAATGCAACACCAAGAAGGAGTGGTCAGAAAGTGATGAAATTTGGAAAAAAGACAGAGACAGCAAGCACCAATAAGTGATCTTTATTTCAAAATGACAGTCAGAATACAGAGCGAGAATGGCGTCGGCTCAGTAGGACGTAAGACCATCGCGGACAGCGATGCATGAAGAAACACGTCTAGGCATAGAGTCAGAAAGAGTGCGGACGGTGTCCTGAGGGATGGCTCTCCATTCCCTTTCAACCATTTGCCACAGTTCGTCTTCTGAACGAGGCAGGGACAGAGTCTGCAAACGGCGTCCAATCACATCCCACACATGTACTAGCCACATGTACGGTGGCCAGGGAAGCATCTGTATACCTTACAGAGCATGTTGGCAGATGCGAGCACTGTGTGGTCGGGCGTTATCCTGCTGAAAAATTGCATTAGGCAGCCCCTGAAGGTAGGGGATTGCCACCGGCCGCAGTACATTATCCAAGTATTGTTGGGCCACGAACTAGAGGTGACCTGGAATCGTAGGCAATAGCGCCCCAAACCTTTATGCCACGATGTCCCGTGGTGGGGCATCCCACAGTTACTGCCGAATTAGATCTGTCTCCACGTCGACGCCACACACCTACGCGGCGACTGTCACTGGATAAACAGAAGCGTGACTCATTTGAGAACACGACGTTTCGCCATTCTGTCATCCACATCGCTCCAGTCCGGCACCATTCTCAACATTTGCGTCTATGCTGTGGGGTCAAATGGCAGTCTTCTTAACGGACACCATGAGTGCAGGCCACGTTCAATCAATCGACGGGAAATGGTTCTGGTCGACACGGAAACATCCATGGTATCTTGCACATGCTGCAGAATCGCGGTACACGTGACTTGCGAGATCGCCACAACTTGTCAGCGGATGCGTCGATCCACACGTGCTGACGTCACTCTGGCTGCAGCTCATTCTTCCCACATTTCCTTGTTCTAACCATGTTCGCCGTAGTCGATGCACCGTGCTCGCATCCATGTGGGTATCAGCTGCGATTTGACGTAAGGACGAACCCGCCCTTCTCAGTCCGATCACCATACTCCTCGTAAAATCGTCTATCTGCTGGAAGTGCCTTTGTTGACGGCGGCCTGGCATTCTCTCCTATTACACGTATCCTCCGGGACAAAAACCAACTTTCTTCGATAATTTGTCTGGCAGAAATAACGACACGAATATTGCTCATTCTGCACGTTCCTTCCCTTATATCTTACTTCACGTGCATCGGAGAGCTGCGCGTTTCACATCATTCTCGTAACTCGGTGACGTTTGTCTACTCTAAAATTTGCATTAATTTCTGACCACTCCTTTTTGGGTGTTGCATTTTCAACGTCGAGCAGTGTATATACAACCAAGAGATCTGTTTCTAAATATCTTATACAGTGATCTCTTCTTAGTTAATTATTTTTAGTTTTATGAGGTGCCTTTTTAAGATCATAAGATCACTTCGCAATCAGGTGAATGGGCAGCACTCCAGCAATCTTACAGTGATCTCTACATATAAAATAAAAGAAAGAGTCTGTCTGTGTGTGTGTGTGTGTATGCCTTTCGTTCGTGTTGCGCGTAAGCTAATAGACGCAGATCTACGAAATTTGGTACATAGGTGTATCTAGACAAGAGCCAGAGTACCTCGATGAGAGTTTTTCAGAATTCGATTCAGTTTTTTTAATTTTATCTTTTTTTTTGATAAAATCGCATCATTTTGAATTGTTTCATTCTTTGAGAAATGTGGTTTTGGCAACAGTTTTTCATTCAATGCTTTGTATACTGGACTGCTGACTGTTCAAAATATGACATAAAATATTTTTAATTATACACGCAACACCTACATTGCAATCGTCTTACTCTGACGGGAATGTGTCTCGCGAGGCTCAACAGAAAGAATTTTCTTTTTTCCCCTCTCTCTCTCTTTATTAGCTAATGGCAAAGAGGTTTGTATGTTTTGAATTATGTCGTCCACAAAGCACAGTTTTGATTGGTTATTGCTTTCTGATGACAGTTTCATTCTTTTAGAAATGTGGTTTTTGGCAACAGTTTATCGTTCATTGCTTCGGATAATGGACTGCTGACTGTTTTCTCTTGAAAATAGGAGATTTATTCCTTATTTCATTGTAATTTTTTTATGTTATGTTTTAATCATATATAATTTTAATTATGTAAAACGTTTAGCATGATTTTGTTCTAGGAAACAAAGTTCTTAACTTCCTTTATACCATTTGAATTCTTAAGATTTTGCAACGGGAAGTTGGTTAATTTATTTATTAGGATAATTAATATTTGTGTTAAGGGATATTCCTTGCTTATTTTATTGTAATTTTTTATATATATTACATTTTTATTGAAATTTTTTTGATAAAGTTGTTCTGCAGAGTAAAATTCTGTGCAATTTTAAATTTAATGTTTGGTGTCTGTTCCCTTTAGGCTTTCTGTGGTATATTTAAAAGCCAGACGAAGGCTAGCCGCGTAAGGCTATTCATATATACAACAGAGAGATATATTTTTAAATATCTCTGTATCACAAGAAAGATTAAAAACAAGAAAAACGGTCTTAAATTTCCTTTTGCACAAATTTAAAAACAGATCCTCCGGCATATCTTGCTTCCTTTTTAGTATGCTTTTTAAAACTCTGCTTTCTTCAATGCTTAAGTATTTTCCTGTCGACCATGAATGTTTGCCATCATCCAGCTATGAAAGTTGGCGGAGATTCCGCCGAAGTTGCGTTAGTCGTTCGTGAGGAGTTCTGAGCCCCTCTTTCTATTTGCAACTTTTGCAATTAAATGTCGTCTGTATCTTTATACCCAACTACCAAACAGCCACTGCTGCGGTAGTGTTGGATCAGCTTCATTTTTTGTGTTCGTAAAAAGATGTGTATGGTGTATATTGAGAATACGGCAAAGCACACTAGGGCTATCTTCGTAAAAAGGCTTTCATCGGTTTCTATTATTTCGCTAAGGCCTCCTAAGTTTGCCAAAACTCCTATTTAGAACGCTGCCCCACTAGTGGCCGAGTGGTTAAGACCGTTGAATTCTAGTAATTTGACCTGTTTTGCGTTCAATGCCAGACGAGCAAGCTGGGTACGTGGTTGGTTTTTGTGGTTTATTTCATGGGTAACGTGAATATAAATCAATTTCCTTCGGGCAATCCTCTACGAAGACATCCCTCCTATTTGAATCCTCAGCCGAGTTCGAATTCCCTCGGGGGCTGAGGGAATTTCATAGCTTCCCGGGAGAACTGTGGTCTGACTTTTATTGATCTGTTAAGTATTAATTTTAGTTTATGAATATAAAAATGTACTTTTTATTCAAGGTCTTGAAATTTATTAATATTTTTTATATTTTTTTCTTGCTAAATTTTGAAAACACATTAAAGTAATCTAAATTTAAATAAAGAATAATAATAAATACTAAATAATAATCTAATTTAAATTAAATGCATATGCTTTTATTTTTATTTATTTATTTTATTTTATTTATTTACTTATTTATTTGAGTTTTGAAATGGAAGGAGGGAGAATCAGCTTCTCTCAGTGGTGAAAGAGGTGCAGGGGACAAAAATTATTGAGAATCACTAACTAACCTGTTTAGAATGCTATGAGTACAAACTTCCTCCAAGTGATTATTCCAGTCCAAAACAATAATTGATAAAAGCTGCGTTTTCCAGTTTCAACACATGGTAATTCTTTCGCCCAGTTTTAAATGAGCTAGAGATCGTTCCCAAATCTCATTCTACAGCCAACAAAATGACTATTTTTTTATCTAAAAACAAAAGGTGCTTTATCGAGAATCAATCTAGGTTATATTAAACGAAAGCACTGATGTTATGAGTGGGTTGTGAGGTCCCGCTTATCTATAATTGGCTGTAAATTGCGCTCTTTGACGACAGTTTCAGTTGTCAACAAGATAATATGGAAGTGCATATATTCTATCTTATATCAAATTTATCCTTTATATTGCTTTTGAAAATTATTCAAATTTGCTTTCACAAAATAACCATACAGTTCCTTTAATTTGATTATTAATTTATTAATTTTAGAGCAAGCCCAGAAATCAGTAGTTAATTTTAGCAAAAGCTTGGAGGTCATTGTCAAAGAGCCAGGGGAAGATGTCAAACTCGTTGCAGGCTATACAATATTTCCGCATTCAGCAGACATCGGAGTTGTGTGGACCAAAGACAGCAACCAGTCACTGCTGGACCTGAAGAAATATAAGAGTAAAACAACAGATTCCAAGTTCATATTGAGGATCTTTAATCTCACAAAAGCAGATTCTGGCTTGTACACTGTAACAGCTCAAGCTCCTGGGGGATCAAACCAGATGTCTTTTCACCTTCATGTAGCAGGTAATGATTTTTTTTGCATTGATGTATATTACCTTATGAATATTGGGAAGAATACTTAAACAGCAGCCAGGTGCATAAGTAGGCGATAGCAAATTTCTCCCTCCCATACGATGGGTAGGAGGGAATTATGACTAATCTCCAAGAATTCATCTCTCGGAGTCAAAACCGAAACATCGAACTGATCTCGCTCGGTTCGTGTAACACTAGCTCATTTTGGTGGGATGTAGCTTGCTCATTACTAATGTGGATACCAGGCTCTGATTATAGCGTGTCTGATATTTATTTTTGTTATCTGCATGTCTTGACACGTATGCATTTCTATGCGGTTTCTACTGCAAAGAGCAGTACTTCCCTGCAACCTCAGATGTTTCTACAGTGAGCCTTGTGCTAAAGAAACATGAGGGAATCCCAATATGATAAATCACCAGTGAAGAACAGAGGACATCCCTTCTACGTGGGTAGTACATGCTGGAATGAGCAGGTTAGGTCAGCAAGAGAAAGAACCCAGAAAGTGCACACCACGTGATAGGCAACGACGAATTTGCGTTAGGATTAAAACAGTTGTAACTCAAACCTGTGTTGTCTGCATATGATACTTTGATACTTCATGATTCTGGCGTGCAGCGGGAGATGGTCTACTCCTGCTCTTTCCAGACTCCTAAATTAGTCACCTCAGGATCCTGGCGTATGTAAAAGTCCAAGGATTAAGCTCCTTCAGTTGATGTAGAGCTGTAAGGGAAAAAGGAAAGTGAAGCCCTGAGCTTCGGTGATCAGTAAGTAATGTCAGGGGCACCTGAAGAAGGGCAGTTAGGCGAGGAAAGCGGGTTGGAAGCGAATGATGAGGTTTGAAGAATCCGAAACTTGGTGAGCTTGCAAATTACTGCACAATACGAAAACAATACATATATACAGAAAAATAAGAAAAAAATTCTATGTACAATATAAAATATCATCTGTTCTGATGAAACAGCAATTAACTGGTAATAATTGGTTCCTGAAATAAATAACAAGAAGAATTATTACGGGATAACATACATGAGGCCTATTTACAGCAACAGATTTTTTTTCCAATGGCAGATTGTGAACAATTACAAATGTAACCCAGTCCATTGGCTGGATGTGGTGGTCTCTTTATTATGGAGGCACCTAATAGGTGGGCCACTATCGCCTTTCCTATGAAGGGACGAACAGTTACAACCATGCCTTCTCCGAGATTCGAACCCAAGCCCTTCGGGCATCGCAGTCAGCTTCCCTGACCACCATAGCCACTGGGCGGCAGCAACAGATATTTTAAAACTGCTCTTTTAAGGGCAAAAAAATAGTATTCTGTAAATTTGCTGTCCTCTGGTAGCCAAAAGTTATTTAGCCTATCGGCAGCAAAGCAAAGTCCAGAGAGAAACTTTTCATGCTATCTTTTTTTTTTTTTTTTTTTTTTTTTTTTTTTTTTTTTTACTTTTGATATCCTTTAGTAACTAAGATCGACTACATAGGGTTGTTATCTGCATATATGTGCTAATCTAATGTATATGTTCTTATTTAATTTTAAAAACAAATGTCTAATGTGCTTTGACTGAGAACTGGGGTATTAAACAGGTGTCCGCCGAAAACATTGCGGACGAAAACTTCGGTAAAAAAACCAACACAAGAAGAAATGTGTTACATAAAAAGTGGCGGGAGAAAAGAAAGCAAGAAGAGCATCATTGCAGTTCCAAAACATTGTAGAAGAACATCGCCATAGAAAATAAAGTGGTTCAAAAACAACGCATAAGAAAATATCGTAAAAAAATAAAACACCTACGAATCATCGCATGATGACAACATTTCAGATATGTGTTTTCAGACTTTAAAAGTTTTGCATCGCATTTACATTACCAATCCAACTTTAGAATGGAGATGACTACTAATCCAACACTGTAAAAGAGATTAATTGAATAATGAGTTTTAATAGTAAATTAAGGAATACTGCCTTCAAAATCATTACATGAACATACATTTAAAATTTTAAACTCTAAAAACACATGTTTACGATATTATCATCATATGATAATTTGTAAATGCTTTACTTTTTTACCACGATTGTTTCTATACAACATTTTATAACTGTGAAGTTTTTGAACAGCTTTATTTTCTACGACGATGTTTTAGAATTGATGTTTTCTCCTTGCTTTGTTTTCTTCCACAATAGTTTGTACAACAACATTTTCCTTGCGTTACTTTCTCCCGGGCATTTTTCTCCGCGATGGTTTTGCTGAGTTCTTTACAGCTGTCATGGTTAAACCGTTCAGAATGAGTGAAAGTAGAAAGAAGAGCTCTCGCAGGCTCGCGCGCTCTGAAAATATACCTAGGCAAGGGAGCAAACGATTTTCCCGTTAAGCCTAATTCCATTTTAAAATTCCTTTAAAATTATTATTGCAGTTATTATTGTAGTTACGCAAAAATTTAGAGTTTATTATCATTGATGCTATCTGAATATACTGGAATGAAATTTTCCTGATATTTGGAATTAAAAAATTTCGAATGTTAAAGAAAATGGTTTAATTTTAATAAAGAAACGTATCGATGTATACATGGGCAAAATGGACAGTTTTAAAATTAGAGCAAATTACAAGTAAAACTAAATGATATGTCCAAACAAATTTCATAAATATAACGAAATGAATGAAGTATTAGCATTTATAAAGTCCTTTTAGAGGTTATCTTCCCTAACTGCTCCTCTTCACTTGTTTGCATTTTCAAATTCTCCTAATCCAATTAACAACAGCAAAAATCTGAATGTGGACACCACTTGACTTCCTTATACGGCCTATTAAACTACACACTGTTTTTACTGCATTTCATTTAAACTTATTTCCTCGAATTTCATTTCATATATATTTCTCATTCAATCAATTCAGTTCTCACTTTGCGGCGAGGCAAAAATACATGAAAATGCAAAGCACCTTCATTAAAACTGTAAAATATAGAAAAACATAAAACACCAAAACGCAGTTTTGAAATATGTGCTTGGGAAATCTGGTAAGAATGGAAGAAATTGCTTTAATATTTCTGCATTATGAGACGCAATACTTTGCGCAAAATAAGTGCACAATGCCGAGTTTCTGCATTTCCTAATTTTGTTTTAATGAAAATAGATCACTGTGTACATGGTAATAACCCATGTTCACTGGAAAATATTATTAAATAATTAGAATTTTTTTTTTAATTTCCAAATTGTGTTTTATTTTAATATAGTTATAATGCTTGCAGATTTAAGATAAATTTAGATGATTTGGGGATTTTTTTTTTTTTAAATCGCCAATTTGCGCCTCACAAATGGCTTTTATTATAGCTTGTATCGTTATTCTTTTTCATCTGTAAAATATCGCTAAGGTGAGTATGCTAATATTAAACACTGATAAAAACCGAAATTTAATAAGCAACATATACCTTAGAAATATAATTCACGATGTTAGCAGGTGAAGCTAGCAGTTATATTTATTATGACATTAGTAAATATAACTTGCACAGTTTTAAAAATAAAAGAAGTAATTTTTTAATGCAATTTAATTCAAAGAAATGAATGGTATTTTTAAAATTAATGCAGAAAAATTCCTTAATAAAGTTTGAAAATATATGACAGCAAGGTGTCTTTCAGACTGCTGCTGTTTTACTATTTTCTGCTTTATTATATAATATTATTATGCAATGATTAAGCTCAAAGACCTCACAATAGTCTTAGAGATTTCTTAATGAAGTACGTTTGAAACCTTGTTCCATGTTATTATTATAATAAGGTTTAAAATATGTTGTCTCACTTCTTAATAAGATGTAGTTTCAGGTGCCTAAGTTTTCTACTATAGTCTGTTGCTTTAAAACAGGAACTTCAAGGTTATATTCTGCCTCTAGGTTTCACTCCTAACCATGGAAAAAACAGCTGCGGAAAAAAAGGGCGAATGAAGTAATTTTTCTTTCCAGATTATTTCCGCTTAGTGTGTTTAGCTTCACGAAAAGCGTGCGAATGACAGCTGATTTTCAATTGCTGAGTTACAGTTTCAAATAATTACAGAAATTAAGTGCTGAGTGACAAAGACGTCATGAGTTACCATCACAAATAAGGGCTAGCAATGGCCTGGAAGTGAATGTTTTAAAGTAATAGACTATAGTTACATACTTTATGTGAATAAATAAATACTGTATTTTCTCAAACATTCTCTCTCTTTTTCTATAGTTACACACTTTATGTGAATAAATAAATATTGTATTTCCTCAAACATTCTCTCTCTTTTTCTATAGTTACATACTTTATGTGAATAAATAAATACTGCATTTTCTCAAACATTCTCTCTCTTTTTCTATAGTTACATAGTTTATGTGAATAAATAAATACTGCATTTTCTCAAACATTCTCTCTCTTTTTCTATAGTTACATAGTTTATGTGAATAAATAAATACTGTATTTCCTCAAACATTCTCTCTCTTTTTCTATAGTTACATACTTTATGTGAATAAATAAATACTGTATTTCCTCAAACATTCTCTCTCTTTTTCTATAGTTACATACTTTATGTGAATAAATAATACTGTATTTCTCAAACATTCTCTCTCTTTTTCTATAGTTACATACTTTATGTGAATAAATAAATACTGTATTTTCTCAAACATTTTCTCTCTTTTTCTATAGTTACATACTTTATGTGAATAAATAAATACTGTATTTCCTCAAACATTCTCTCTCTTTTTCTATAGTTACATACTTTATGTGAATAAATAAATACTGTATTTCCTCAAACATTCTCTCTCTTTTTCTATAGTTACATACTTTATGTGAATAAATAAATACTGCATTTTCTCAAACATTCTCTCTCTTTTTCTATAGTTACATAGTTTATGTGAATAAATAAATACTGTATTTCCTCAAACATTCTCTCTCTTTTTCTATAGTTACATACTTTATGTGAATAAATAAATACTGTATTTTCTCAAACATTCTCTCTCTTTTTCTATAGTTACATACTTTATGTGAATGAATAAATACTGTATTTTCTCAAACATTCTCTCTCTTTTTCTATAGTTACATACTTTATGTGAATAAATAAATACTGTATTTTCTCAAACATTCTCTCTCTTTTTCTTTTTTACTAATTTTATCGTATGAAAACCAAGAGGGGAAAATTATGCAAATAATTTAATTTCCGAAGGTAGCGGTTACAGCAAGAACACAACAAATGAAAAGTAGTCATATGTAAACTACAAATGGCAGTCTCAATATAATATCTCTGAAAGAAAAGTACATTCCAATAAGAATACATAGTAAATATTAACATTACGTTATCTAATAAGATATCTTCATTTTCCACTTCGTATTCCTATTTCCTTTATTTCTACTTGAATCTAACCCTTTCTTATTGTTGTCTTTGCTACTCCTTAGACTTCAAATCCTCCATAAACAGTAAGAGCAGGTGAATGTGCAGCTGAATCGCAGAACTCGTAGACCAAATATCAGTTCGCATTTGCTTCGCTGTTATGGATCGGTTCTCGTATTAAACTTATAAGGTATTTCTTCCGCCTTCTTAGCATGCCTTCGTGGTGTAGTGGTCAGCACGATCGACGCGTATTTGAGAGGTCCGTGGTTCGAGTCCCGGTGAAGGCATTACTCATTTTTCATCTTTCTTGCTTCAAATAAACCTAATGTCTGCACAAGCTGCAATAAAGTTCAAAAGTTAGAACGGAAAGGTTCGGAGTAACTTTCGAGATATTTAGAGAGGGTTTGTCTTCTTTAGTAAGATGAAAACAATCACTACGTGGACAAATTCATTTCAAAATTTAGGAAAGTTCGTTCTGAAGTGAGGAAGGGGAAAATTATGAGAAAATTTTTTTAATCTTCAAAAATTGGCGGTAAAAAGCTGGGGAAGTCAGGAAATATCAAACATAGTTTCACACTAGCCAGGATCGTATGTAAGTAATTTAATCTTCAAAAATTTTAGATTATCAAATTTCTTGTCTAACTTATTTTTAACTAATTTTGCAGATAAGCCTGAAGTTAAGATAATAAATGTCACAGGATGTTGCTATAGGCCTGGAGGAAATTACGAAATTCTGTGCCAGTCTGAAGCATATCCGCCACCGGTTCTGTACTGGAGTTGGAAACCGGTTTGCCGTGACCTCGAATGCAGCGGCTCGGATGAATGGGAAGTCATAGAAGATTACTATGAAGTAAATAATAGTACCGTGTGGTTAACGAATAGTAATGGAGACCTTTTTTCCTCTGCTATTTTCCTTACAGCGCAAAAATCAGGATTTTATAAATGCAGCAGCAAGAATGAAAAAGGCATTGCAGAAGATCAAATACCATTTATTGTGTCTGGTGAGTATTTAAACAAATATCAGAAAAGCAAATTTTATATAATTTTACAGCAAAAAAAAAAAAAAAAAAAAAAAAAAAAAATTCTAATTTGTCCAGCATGTCACCTTTCGCCACTTAAATATTTCAGCTGGTTATGACCCGTTTGAGGCCTTTAAGGTTTTTTTTAAAACTGTGCCATTTCAGTGTCTTTTGATGGGTGGGTTAAGAGATACTCCTATTTCAGCCTTTTCATTAAGGTTTTTTGGCTAATCTTTGGAATATGGTAACAGGTTAGTAAGACGAAAACAAAATCACTACGTGGACGAATTCATTTCAAAATTTAGGAAAGTTCGTTCTGAACTGAGGAAGGGGAAAACTATGAGAAATTTTTTTTAATCTTCAGAACCGGGCGGTAAAAAGCTAGGGAAGTCAGGAAATATCAAACATAGTTTCACGCTAGCCATGATCGTATGTAAGTAATTTAATCTTCGAAAATTTTAGATTATCAAATTTTTGAATTCAAAAATTTTAGGTTACCAACACATTACACTCTAACAATACTACATTAATGATTTTTTAAAAAGTGGACGATCACCAAGCTACAAATGTGAGGACTGCCATCAGAAATTTAGTGACCTAAAAAATTGGAAATATCATCAAGATAAAATTCATACTTCTAACAGGTAATTATGTGTGTCCTGTATGTCATGCTAATTTTGAAAAGCGAGAAGTAATATTTCATTTCAATAATGTTCATGATGTTGATTTCAATCATACTGAGCTAAAATTTAATTCATTTAATGATTTTTTGGCATGGAAGGCAGAAATTGAAAATAATACGAAGTCAAAATTTCTTATGGAGTGAGCACATTTGGCTAATCTTTGGAATATGGTAACAGGTAGTTTGGCGACATTTTGGTAAGGTGATAAAGGTTACTAGCTAGGACTTTAGCAGTGTACATAGATAAAGTCAAGAGTGTGCGCAAAGCCATTTTTGTGCAATTCTGGGATGTTTTTTTAAGTGAAAATAGGTCGACGTGTACATAGATGATACCGTGTATGTGCAATTCTTAAAAACGCGGCAAGCAGTGGGCGATTCTGCACTTTCTGCCAATGTCGCACCTAATCTTCGTCATGATTAAGCACTTTTGTTCCATAAAAGTTCTAGCATAAGCGTAATTCGGCTAGCAGATTGTTGAAAAAAAAATGCTGAGTGAAAAAAAAAAAAAAAACCCTTTGTGAAAACAAAATGGTGTCCAAAAAAAAAAACTAGGAGGTGTCTATAGCAGGGTTGGTCGCCAAATTTTCGCCAAAAAATCACCAAGTTACCATAATTCGAAGATTAACCGGTTTTTTTACAAAAATCAACCCATTTTAGAACTTCTCTTTTAGTAACATCCGGCGCACACAAACGTCCGTTCTTCTTTAATGTGGTATGACTTTCTCAAGTACCAAACTTCCGAAAGAGTTTGAGTTTCCGCATATCCATCTTGAGGTCCAAAAGTGATATTTTTGCTTAAATTAATTATATTCCCTTATACGCATAAAAGGATTATGTCTTGCAGTTTCCACAAATTCAGTTTCAGCCATATGTACGAAAAAAAAATAGCTTTCTTCCTAACATTTGTACACTGCGCAAAACAAAGGAGGGGAATAGTTCTATATCTTTCATTCTATTGGGCTGATTGACAAAATTCAACTTGCATGTTTCATGTCTTGCAAGCGCGATTTAGGATATATATAAGATTAATATATAGCATTGTTCTAATATAGATATTTTGACCAAAATCGAATTTTTTCTTAAATGACATACCAATTCTTTTCCATATTTGATTCTACGATTCAAATTACGCCAAACCGCCAAGTTTTTTAAAAATCACAGGAGTAGTTTCTAAAAAATTAGCTCTCAAAGTTTTAGCTCCTCAGTGTTAATTGAATTGAATATACATTTATATATATCTCTTTTTTATTAAACGTATTTGATTCTTCCTTTCACATTTAGAAATTTAGATTCATTCCAAATAAAATTCTCCCATTTTTTATGATTTATTTTTAAAATTGTATTTTAAAATAATTTTTATAAATTTTCCGAAAAAAATTATCAATTATAATTTATAACATTTTTACCATCATCTTAAAGTAGATATATTTCTAGGCACACGTGCGAAAAATTACAATTTTTTATTCAATATTTCCAAAAATATACGTGAATTTATATATTGGCGCGTTTAAAAATTTGGCATATTTGTTGAAAGCGATAATAACATCAAATGCGGTTTGGGCACTTTGTTAAAATTATTTGAACGGAGGAACGAAGTGCCTTTTTTTCCGCTCCTGCACAATGTAAAAAGCTTAATACGATGTGACCTTTCTTCCGGTATTGCACAATGGAAGGAAAAGGAAAATGGGTTGCCATATATTATGAAATTCGCCAAATGAATTATTCTTGGCCCAAAGTGAAAAAATATGCCAAGATAAATTTTTGAATTTCTCCGTAAATTTTGCACCATGTTCTACAAAATTTAATAATATTTAGGCATAATTTGAATAATAGATTCAAAATATGGAAAAAAATTGGTATTTTATTTTAAAAAAGTCCGAGTTTGTGCCAAAATACCTATGTTAGAACATTTGTATATATATAAGTCTAATATATATCCTAAGTCGCGCTTTCGAGAGATGAAAAACGCAATTTGAATTTCGTCAATCGGCCCAGTAGAACGGGAGATATAGAACTGTCCCCCTTTTTTTGGGGGGGTGCAGTGTACTTAAAATAAGAGCACCGTTCTAAATGAAATGTTAACACGTGTTTCATTCAGTCCAGCTTCTTTTATTTATTTATTTTGAACACTTGCTCTTGCCCGTTTAATATATCTTCCCACCAACTATAATGAAAGATTAAAAATAGAAAGGCTGAAATGGCACGATTGTTTCATTCAGAAAACTTGCAGAAAGGGGGGCAAAAAGTCTGAAATGGCATGATTTTTGCTGCTACCTTTCAAAAAACCTGAATCTGGAAAGTACGAAATAGAACATGACGATTTTAAATAACAACGAGCTTTAAGTAAAGTGTCACTTCCAGTTGATCGTTTCTAAACAAAATTTAATTTATTGCTCCAATAACTAGAAAGATCTATAATATGAAAATTTGGATTACTTTTATCAGGTATAATTGGCCATGTATAAAAAGAGTTTTTTTTAATACCAACATACTCAAATATATACCATTTTATCTTTTTACATTATAAATAATATTTTATTGGGAACCGAATAACACCTAATTTGATTAGATTTCAAGTAAGGAAATTAAATATTTATAAAATTAGATGAATAGCATAATTTACTTAAATATTTAAAATAAATACTTTGAGAGGAATACCATAATTTTCTTTTTTTGTAAATTATTTCTATAGTATCAACGAATGAATCCAAATTCAATTTGATCTGTAGATATATATGTTCTCGCGATATTTATGAAGTATCACTTAGTATATACCTGATAAATATCGTGGTATATTAACTGAAAATATTAGTATACTAACTGATACCTATCACCTATTAGTATATCAGGCATTATGTTTTTAGGTATCAGTTAGCAATGCTCGATCAACGGCAACAATATGTTCTGTTTCATGTACCTAAAAATATGCTATATTGGTTGCTACAAAATTGTTATGGACGTCAAGTAAGGTACAACTGCCGATTGTCCATTAAAGACTCTCAAGGTCGTATCACACATTCAAAACATTGCGGAAGAACAACTTTCCTGCTTTGCCATACGATGAGTAACACCAGTCATCTTCAATCGTTTTGGGGTTACCATGTAAAGGGGAAGCTAGTTCTCTAACACAAATGGTGGTTGATGACGGGACATTCGATGCTGATAGCTGATTGGTTGTTGAAAACGAATAACTTCAGTTTTTTCTAAAAGAGAGGGAAAAATCGAGCGTCTTTCTTTCAGTGATAAAGCAGGTAGAAAAAGTGTCTGAAACTGTTGTTTGTCGGGCTTCAAGTACCACTTTCGATTTTCCAATTTTAACCCAAATCTAATCAAGTTTTAATATTGTTACGGATTTGGTATTTAAATAGCTTATGTTAGTTGAATTGTAAATTAAATTGTTTTATTTCCCGCGCAGTGCAGCGCGTGACGAATATTAAAAGAAAGCTAAGCCGGAAAATGGAAAATACAAGAGCGCGTGCATTTAACATTTAATAAATAAAAAAATAAAATCTCTTTTTTAGAAAAAAGAGATATTTAATAAATATCTCTTTTTATCTCTTTTGATTTCGAGAAAGTTCCAGAAAGTTCTCGCGCGCGATTTAAAAATCTTATAAAAGCAGGAAAACCTCTCAGTTCTTAGTCAGTTATTTTTAGTTAGCTTGTTGTTGATTTAAGAGTTTGTTTAGAAAACTGCTCTTGTTGATTGTAGCGAATTCGCGGATTAGCTTTCTTTAGCTGTTTTGAATTAACTTCTATTGAACGTTTGAGTAGTTAAGATAACTACTGTGAGATATTGTAATACTGAAAGAATATCTGAGGAAATTTTTGTTGTAATAATAATAAATTTTGTTCATTTTTTTCATCGGGCTTGTGCATTCATTTCGTAACGAACCCGTACGCACGCAACAATATGAATGCTGAAAACTTAAATGCGGATAATAGAACACACTTTTTTATTATTCGTGCTTGTTCACTTCGAAATTTGTGCTTGTGCACTGAAAACTCACTATCGAATTTTTGGACCACCAACACTGCCTTCTTACCTATTTGTATAGGTGGCGGTAGGTATTAAAGACAAACAAAGCTAAATTCAAACTGGACATACAATGATAACAGCATGCATATGAGAAACAGAAACGAATCTGAAATTCTTTATTTAAAGGAAATAGTAATTTAAAGGAATATTGTCAGTAATGAAATCTATGTGAAGAACAAGCGTAAATATTTAAGAGTTAAATTTTCTCTTCAAGAACCTATAAAAGTGTCATTTAGTCGCTTTTCATTTTCTATAAAATAAGAAAATAAGCAAAAAAATCTGAAAACTTTCAGTTTTCATACTACGTGCAAAGGGGCTTTTTTTAACGTTTCGTACTTTGTTTATTAAATATCATGTTCTTCTCACTTAAAACATAAAATTCAGTTCAACAGCAATATCACAAAATAATTTAAAAAAGAGCATATCTTGAGAATTTCAAATGCACAGTCTCGCGCGTTGCGAATAATTTTTTTAATATTTTTTTTTTTTTTGTGCAGTTGCCATAACTCGCTTTGAGATCGTTGAGTTTGTTAATAAAAAATTCGTTAACGTTTAACGAAATATGAAATATGCAATAAAAACAAATCCCAAATTTTGGCTTCTAGATGCCCATATTCGAGTGGAGGACTACGTTATTCAAAATTTGATGTCTCTAAGTGACGTTGTTTTTTCACACTGCGGGAAACATACACACATTCATGCAGATTTCTCACTATTTAATTTTTTTAAACGTTTATGGAGGGCGATAATATTTGGCGGCAACAATGTGAAAAGTGAAATGTCGTTAATAGTGAGCCAGTGCTAAATGCCAAAACAAAATTAATAGCTCTTCTGGGCCAGTTGCCCCTTTGGGATTAAAAGAGTTCTCTGGAAATGCAAAGTCAAGGGTTAAATTCATCAAATCTAATGAGAATGCACTAGCGAAGTAAAGCACTGCGGATTTACATAATTTCTGAGTAAGCTATTCGTACGAACTGAAATAATTCTTGCACTTAAACTTGTATTTCATAAGATTTAATTTAAGATTTAACTTGAAATTAATGGAAATAATTACTGAGAGAATTAGATTTTTGTAGACTAGTTTACATGAGTTAAGATCACTTGGGGTCACGTGATATGAAAAGGCGAATCGAGATGTTGAACCATGAAAGCATAGTAAATTCTTAAATTAATGTCTTTTTACAAATTTATTGTCTTTATTTATTGGCTTTTTACAAAATTTTAAACCACATTAAAATGTTTATGCCGTCAAAATAAAAAATTCTTAAAACTAACATTTGTTAACATTTTTTGGTACTATTCCGTTTTGAGGACCGTAAAAAAATTGCAGCGACAATGTATGCGCAAAAGCGCCAAATCTAGCAAACGCGCCCATTTAACAGCGCGCCAAATCTAGCGTACGCTCTATATTTCGTAAGACACCATTGAAATACTAGTTCAGTTTTTAAATCCTTTTTTGATATCCTATGGATTTAAGAATTTGGGAATTACCCGTGACGAAAAGTCTGTAATAGAATTTTGAGTAAAGTGCAGAATCACCCACTGCTTGACGCGTTTTTAAGAATTGCACATACTCGGTATCCATGTACACATCGACCTATTTTCACTTTAAAAAAATCCCAGAATTGCACAAAAATGTCACTGCGCACACCCTTGACTTTATCTATGTACACATCGACCTAATTTCACTTAAAAAGTAAAAGAAAATGGACAAAAATCGAATTGTTTTTTACCCTTGTAAAAAGCGGCAAAAAAATAAGTGGGCGATTCTGCACTTTACTCAGAATTTTTTCATAAAAAAGGCATCATTCATTATAGAAAATTATGTTTGAACAACCAACGAGATGGAATTATGCTTTAGCGATAACTCGGTAGAGAAACAGCGATGCAGGCATCCATTCAGTTATGTTTAGCAATTTTTATATAAATTATAATAGTAAAAAAGTATTACACGAAATTAACATTTCATCTAAATTGAAACATCAATCTTAAATAGTTATTTACTATTATGTACTTCCTTTCTTGCGTTAGGGTTGCCGCAATTATTTTTGGCAGCTCTGGCATCAACAATAATTTGGCGATTTCTTACGGCCCTCAAAACCGAATAGTACCCATTTTTTATGTGTATACTGTATGCTGTCGCCAACAAAGTCTGCTTGGCGAGATTTGCCCCGGCGAAACGGAAAAGTACCCTTTTTCTTTCTTTTTCTGTATGCTTTCCCTGGAAATAGTATTATTGTAACATATCCAGATGTTATCAGCGCATGAAATAAAATATGCATTTAAGAAGATTAGGTCAGGAAAGTTTGATGTACATTTGACGTATTTAACCATAGATAGTTTCGGTATAGTCAAACTTTGCTAACTATTCAGACAACACACTGCCGGGTCTGGCAAAGGACTCGTTGAATATTTTGGAAAATGCTCTGCAGTTAATGTTTTTCGCATTAGTAAAAATTTAAAACAGTTAGTACCTTTCGAACTGACATAAATCTAGAACAGGTGCTGCATTCAGCCCTTACAAAAAAGACTACACATAAAGTAGATTAGTGAAACTCGCTTAAAATTTTATCGGCGCGGAATTTAAAGTATCGGCTAGCGAGACGCTTATGCCGGAACATAATTTTAAGCAAAACTGGCGGGAGTAAATAATAGCAAGACGATTCTGCTATAAGCTGTAATCTTAAATACAAAATTTTCATTTTAAATACCGATAATACCTCATTGCATTCTGGTGAGAAATACGAAAAGGCTTAAATCATAACAATATATTAATTAAAATAAAAAACTCATCAATATTTGTTTGACTCTTCTGGAATGATTTTAGGTTTATTTATTAAGTCTTACAAAATTTCTTTTATTTAGCGCCAAAATTTACGAAATGTGTTACTGAATTTATTTTTCAGACATAGAAAGTGGATTTCAAATTTATTATGATGAAACCGAACCTTTGGAAACGTCACCGTTTTCCTTAACGTGCAAAGCAAGCTTAGATCTCTTCACGGATTTACATTGGAGATGGATACCTTACGGGCAAAGCGAAAGTATTCCTTCTTATAATGCAAAAATAGGTGATATTAATTTATTATGAATAAAACTGAGCTATTTCTTCCATTAATTTTCTTAGCTTTAAATATATTATTATAAAGATCTTGTTCTTTAAAATAAAGTACAATTTATTTAAATTTTCAGAAAAACTAAAATCGTCTAACAATATTGGAATTTCATTGGAAATTGCATCTATCAAATTAAGTGATGCAGGGAAATACATATGCGTGGCGGAAAAGCGAAATGAAAACAGCTCGGAGGAAAAATCTGTTCTGATAAATGTAAAAGGTAACAGAAATGTTTGTAGACGATAATTTTCATTGTATTTTACTAGTTTATTACCATACATTATTCATCTAAAAACATCCCTTCTGATAAACCTAAAAGGTAACATAATTACAAAGATTTGGTTTATATGATTATGGCAGAGCACTTGAAGGCTACTTCGCCTAAGGGTCAGGATACCTTCATGAAAGTTTTCCTTAAGGAACTTGGCTAGTGTGCACCTTACACATGGGGAAAACCACGAAAACACCCATGCAGCCAGCCCTTTCGCAGGATTCGTACCTTGGAGCGAACTACCAGTGTTTAGCGATTTTACCACTCGGCAGCTGGTGGGCGGGGATTAGGGGATACAGTCGTCAAATTTTGATGGTGAAGAATCGTCATCCTCAGAATTACGAAGGATAAAATTTCATTATATTTTACTAATTTATTACTATAATGTATTTCTCTAAAAAATGAACTCTGATAAATGTAAAAGCTAACAGAATTGCAATGGAAAAATTTTAATTTCATTTTACTAATGTATTTACTAACTCATTACATTTTAATAATTATTATAAATAAATTTTCATTATATTATACTAATTTATTACTATAGTGCATTTCTCTAAAAAATCCGCTCTGATAAATGTAAAAGCAGCAAACAGAATTGTAATGGATAAATTTTCATTTCATTTACAATTTATTTACTAATTCATATATTTTACTAATTTATTATAAATTAATTTTCATTATATTATACTAATTTATTACTACTGGTGTATTTCTTTAAAAAATTTGCGCGTATAAATGTAAAAGCTAACAGAATGTAAAAGCTAAAAAATATAAAATGATAAAAGCTAAAAGTAAAGGATATATGTAAAAGCTAACAGTAAAGGATATAAAGCATATATTTAACAGTAAAGGATATATATATAACAGCAAAGGATATATATCTGATAAATGTAAAAGCTAACAGTAAAGGATATATTTTCATTACATTTTACTATGGAGGGAAAGTTCTGTCGTATTTTATATAGGCAGGTGATTTTTCTTGTAAATAAAAAAAAACATCTGGCTAGTGAGTCAATCGGATTTTTTTTTTTTTTTGTTGTTTTTGTTTTTTTAGCTGCTGTATAATATAAAAGGTGCCCTTTTTTACCGTTCATCATTTACTTGTAATATTTAAAAAGGGAAAAACATGTCGGTAGATAAAGTGCATTTACGACACTGCATTTTATATGAATTCCAAAAAGGAAGCAACGCATCTGTTGCATGTAAAAATTTATGTGCGGTATTTGGAAAAGATATTGTAAATGTTCGTACTTGTCAAAGATGGTTTAGGAAATTTCGTTCCGGGGACCTGAGCCTCAAAGAAAGTGTTCGATCTGGACGACCATCCAAGATCGATAATGATGTTTTGCGATCCATGTTGGAAAATAATCCACATTTAACAAGTTGAGAAATTGCAGAAGAGTTTGGCATTCATTATACAACTGTTGGAGATCCCATTAAATCTCTTGGGTTTGTGTTAAAGCAAAGTGTTTGGGTTCCACATGAATTAACGGAAAAGAATTTGTCTGATCGTGTAAGAATATGTTCATCACATCTGATGAGACACAATGTGGAGCCGTTTTTGGACAGGCTGGTTACTGGAGAGGAAAAGTGGATTCTTTACGAGAATATTAAAAGAAAAAAATCTTACTGCAAACCAGGAACATCATCAGCAACAGTTCCAAAACCAAGTATCCATCAACGAAAAGTACTGCTTTGTTTGTGGTGGGACAGGAAAGGTACAGTGTATTACGAGTTGCTGAAACATGGAAAAAACATCAACGCGGATCTGTACTGCAATCAGCTGGATAAATTTAATGCGCAGCTATCAAAGAAAAAAGGCCAGCATTAGCGTCCAGAAAAGGAATAGTGTTCCATCACGATAATGCTCGCCCGCATACTGCAGTGGTGACACTACAAAAACTGAATGCGTTAGGATGGGAAATCCTTAGTCACCCCCCGTATTCACCTGACATTGCACCCTCTGATTATTAACCTGTTCAGATCTCTGCAAAATTATCTAACGGGAAAAAAATTCAAGTCTTTTGAAAGTGTTTCTAAGGCGTTTGCTGACTATTTTAACTCCATGGATGAGAACTTCTACAAAACAGGAATTACAGGTTACCTGGAAGATGCAACAGGTTGTAACAAATAATGGAGCATATATAATTGATTAATATTAAACACATATTTTTATAAATGAATTCAAATATTTTCTTTAAAATACGACAGAACTTTCCCTCCAACCCTAATTTATTTACCAAGTCATCATGTTTGGGTCTCATCCCAAATAACACACACTAAATAAATTCGCTGGTTCGATTCTTTATTAATTCTCATAATTAATTACAATTAACTCATAGCTGTGACCAGCCCTCTTACACGTCGATGGCGATTCTCAAACTCGTCTGATCATCACATTACAGATGCGCATGCGTGGATTACATTACAGATGCGCAGGCGCGAACATGCCGCCCCGCGTTGCAATGCTTAGCATTCAACTATTGTAATTAAGATATAGCATAAAAAATTAAACAAGTATATCATAAACATTTTGAATAAGTACTATTACATAAAATCATTATTATAATTAGACATTTACCATATACATAAGCGTACAACTCAAAGCAATACAATATAACACATTTCAGTTACATAATGACATTTTATGTGAAGCACATTCAATACTGTACAATAACTATAAAGACAATACTCATTTTTGTATTGGTAAGACACATAATTTGGTAATTGGTCGTTTGAAAGTTCCAGTTTGAGTTTTTACATTACACACGCGAACCTTTCCATCTTTACCATAAAATACTTCTATTATACGACCAACCGCCCAATTACAACAAGGCAAATTATCTTTAATTAAGACCATGTCTCCAACTTGTATATTGTTTTTAGAACTTTGCCATTTAGATCGATTTTGTAAATGACTTTAAATAATTGGAGTTCCATTTTTTTTTCCAGATAATTTGTACTAATCTTGTGATCTGTTGCCACAATTTTAAACCTGTTAATGTTAACTTTCCGTGATATCTGGCTCAGGGATCGAATTAATTGCTCTACCAATTAAAAAATGCCCAGGTGTTAGAACCTCTAAATCATCAATGTCCGAAGACAAGGGTGTCAATGGTCGGGAATTTAAAATTCCTTCAATCTGAATCATAATTGTTAAAAATTGTTCAAATGTCAATTTTGCATTACCTACGACACGTTTGAAGTGGTACTTAAAAGATTTAACTCCAGCCTCCCAAAGGCCTCCAAAATTAGGTGCTCTGGGAGGGAGAAATTTCCATTCGATATTCTCAGAACTCAAATAACCAGCTAAAAGCTCATCTTGTTCGTTCACTAGTTTGTTTAACCTCTTTAATTCTGCATTTGCACCTGCAAAATTCGTAGCGTTATCACTAAATAGTGTTAAACTTTTACCTCTTCGTGCAAAGAAACGTTTAAAGGTAGCTATTAATGCTTCAGATGTTAGGTCTGTTACCAGCTGTAAATGAATGGCCTTAGTAACCATACAAATGAATATACACACATAAACTTTTAGATATGTACCTTTTCTCTGGTTTTTGTACTTAATTAAGAATGGGCCTCCAGTACAATTGAATGTAAGATTAGCTGTGATTCTTTCCTTGGGTTAATCACCCATGATTTGCTGAGCTACAATGGGATTGGCTTTAAAACATATTATACAATTTTTTACAATTTTTCTACAAACATTTCTACCACTTACAATCCAAAATTTTTGTCTTATATGATATAACAAAGATTGAGGACCCACATGCAAATATTTTAAATGATAGTAATTAACTATTAACTCAGTTAATTTATGTTTAGAAGGCAGAATAATAGGAAATTTTTTCTCATAAGTTAAATTGCTATTTTTTAATCTACCTCCAACTCTCAACAGTCCATTACTGTCAATGAAAGGGTTAAGACTTTTAATAGAACTATTTCTTGGAACAATACCTGATTTTTTAAGATCATTTATCTCATTTATAAAATACTCACCCTGTACTAATTTTATTAAAGTTTCTTCAGCTGCTCTCAATTCTCCCACTTGTAAATTACCTACCTGCTTTTGTTCTTGCTTACAATTCTTGTAAAACCTAAAACAAAAACTTATAATACGAATTAATTTTAAATACTTATTACTTACTGCAATTCAATAAATCATTAACAAAATTTTTCACATTCAGATTTAAACATGTAGATAGTTCAGAATCAGCAAAGTTTTTAAGTTCATTACTGTCCTTTTCAGTAATTGCTTCAGGTATAACTCTTATAGGGTACTCATCCTTCATTAAGAAGTCAGGCCCGTTCCACCACAGTTGACTTAGTTGCAGTTTTTTGGCAGACATACCTCTAGATATGAGATCTGATGGGTTTTCTTCAGAAGCGATATGATGCCACTGTGCTATTTCAGTCAGATCCTGTATCTTTGAAATCCGGTTTGCGACAAATGTCTTGAGCAGGTGTGGCTCTTTGTTGATCCATGACAGCACAATCATTGAATCGGTCCAAAGGTGGATAGCAGTAAGCTCCAATTTTAACGATGATTTCACTCGATGCATTAGTTTAGCTAATAGCACTGCTGCGCAAAGCTCAAGTCTTGGGATTGTAGTCTTCTTTAGGGGGGGAGACACGCGATTTACTGCACACCAACCTCATTGATGTATGGTTTGTTGCTGATGTTGCTTTACAGTAGATAACTGCTCCATAGGCGGCTTCTGAGGCATCACAGAAACCATGTAATTCAATCTTGATTCTATCCGGTAATAAAATACATCTAGGGACTTCAATGTTGTTAATTAGCTGCAAGGTAGTGGAGAATTCTTTCCATTCTTTAGCCTCCTTTTCTGGCAAAACATCATTCCAGTTCAATTTTAACAGCCATAATTTCTGCATAAATATTTTTGCTACAATTATAACTGGAGAAATTATACCCAATGGGTCAAAGA